ACTTCATAACGTCGACATAAACACGCTCGGCTTTCACATTCGTAAGGCATTCGCCGTGCGCCCGCGCGCGCTTCATTCGTGGGAACACCGCGTTATTCACGGGATTTTATTAACTTCGCGAACAATCATCACCGGCGTAGCCCAACAAAACATATTATGCGGTTAGGCAAACACTCGCCGGTACAGAAAATAGAATGAAACTTTAACGAATGTTAACGGATACAGCGCCTGTGGTGTATAATTTAATGTATTCAATATATTCAACGCAAGTTGCAACATTGTAATTTTGAAATAATCGAGTGGCCATATTAAATGAAAACTTTGACGTGATCGCGTGCAACATATATTATGCTACATTAATACATTAATATAATCGCAACAGCTGGCTTGCAAAATGGATAAGCGATGTACATCTATTTGCATTTCAATCGCAGTAGTTGACGATACTTATGGACCAAGTGACGATTTCAATAATAATGTCCGTTAATTTTGATTCCCCCCCCCTCTCTCCCCCGCAGGTGAATTGTATTATTCGTTTCTTCTCAATTCTAAAAAGAAATAAAGAATTAAATAAATTAATCTTACAATAATCGATGAGATAGTCCCGTAATTTTCTAACCAATCGATCATATCGTTTCGTCTTCCTTATTCGCTAATATCTATTTATATATATATATATATATATATATATATATATATATATAAAACGATGAATTACACGTGCGCGTGCGGAATGGCGATCGCGCCGGAGGGGGCATCCTTCCCGACGATCCGAAGGAGCGAAGGCCCCACTTCTGGCGAAACAGTTGGTTACACTTTCGTTGCTGCGACTAGTGGTACCACTCGACCACCTCCTTCCTACATGAGAATCGATGGAAGCAGACGGGCCACCGCGCCGCACATCGTTGCATTCGATATGTTACAAAAATTAATCTTCTCGATAAATAAGAAAAATCCGTACGTTGCTCGCTCTGTGTAATCATAAAGTTACTTTGTATCTACCGCAAACTTCAAACTTTGATCCAACAGATTTCGATCTCGCTTTAGTTCAATGTCAATGATTTGCTATTGAAATAATGAGATAAACCTTTATGATAGTTGCATGCGAGTGAATAACCAACAGTAGAATAAC